CCCCGCCCCGCCCCGCCCCGCCACCCCCGCAGGTCAAGTCGATGCGCAACATGGCTGGGGATGCCAGCGAGGCGGGGCCCAGCCTGGCGGTACAGATGCTGGGCCTGAACAGCGTACCGCAGGCGGGCGACGAATTCACAGTGTTTGAGACCGAGGCTGAGGCGCGCGGCGCGGGTGAGCAGCTGCTGCGCTGCTGCTGCTGCTGTGGCTGCGGGGATGCAACCGCGGGCGCTGCTCCTGCGGTTGGCGGGATGGGGCAGCCGCGGCAGGTGCTTGCGGGCGGGGTGGCCGCCGCGGCCTCGGCGGTGCTCCGAGTGTATGCCTACCGCTTTGTCCCCTGCCGCGGGCCTGCCGCTTGGCCGCCGCCGCCTCTCTACCGCGCCCGGCCGCGCTCCACACCCCCACCAACACGCCCTCCCACACAACACGCCCCCCGCCACCCCGGCTGCAGCCGAGGCGATCGAGGCGGCGCGGCGGCTGGAGCGGCTGGCGGAGATGAGCGGCGGCGGCAACCGCGTCACCCTCTCCTCCCTGGCCTCCATAGACGAGGACGGCGACCAGCAAGTGCAGCAGCGGCTGAGCCTCATCCTCAAGGTGGGGCGCTGAGGTGGCGCTGAGGTGGCGCTGGTCGTGGCGCTGATCGCGGCGCCGCGCCGCAAAGCGCGCCCCTACTGCCCCTGCTGCCGGCCCGCGCCCTGGCTGTCCCGCCCTGCCCCGCCAGCCAGCCAAGTATGCACACCAAACCCACCACCACGCGCCGCCTGGCCGCCTGCCCCGCACCGCAGGCGGACGCGTCTGGGTCGGTGGAGGCGGTACGCTCTGCGCTGGGCGCGCTGCCGCAGGACGCGGTACTGCTGCGGTACCTCATGGCCGCCCCCGGCGAGATCACCACCTCAGACATCGACCTGGCCGCCGCCTCTGGAGGCATGGTGCTGGGGTTCAACGTGGCGGTGACCGACGCGGTACAGGTGGGTGGGTGGCAGCGGTACAGAGGCGCCCAGACAGACCTGCGCCGCACGCAGGCCCCCTCAGCCTCCCCGCCAGGTCCCCGCTCACCGCCCCGCCTGCGCCTGCCGCCGCCTGTATCTGAAGACACCTGTGCCTGTCCCTGTGCCGCCGCCTTTTCACCTGCGCCTGTTCACCCGTGCCTGTGCCGCGTGCAGGCTGCGGCCAAGCGCGTGGGCGTGGAGCTGCGCTCCTACTCCATCATCTACGACCTCATCGACGACGTGCGGGCGGCCATGGAGGGGCGCCTCAAGTCGGGTGCGCCCTGGGGGGCCTGCGGGGCCTGCGGGGGTGGGGGGGGCTGCGGGGTGCTGCGGTGGTGGGGTGCTGCGGTGGTGCGGGGGCTGCGGGGGTGCGGGGGGCTGCGGTGGTGTGGGGTCGAGGCGTGGCTGCAGGCTGGTGGGCTGCGCGGGCTCTCGGAGCCTGGAGGCTGCGACCGGCCCTGTGTGATGCACCCCCCCGCTCACCAGCGCCCCCCCCCACGCACACACCTGCCTTGCCCCTCCCACACCCCCTGCTGCAGTCGAGGAGCGGCTGGCCATCGGTACCGCCGAGGTGAAGGCGGTGTTTGGGTCGGGCAACCGCAAGGTGGCGGGCTGCCTGGTGACAGATGGCACCTTGCGGCGCGGCGCCGTGGCTGTCGTCAAGCGCGGCAGGAAGGTGGTGGCAGAGGTGCGCGGCTGCCGCGCCCGCTCGGCGGGTCGCCGGGCGGCCCGGCCAGCGCTGCCTGTGCCGCGGCGGCCGGCTGCGCAGCGCGCGGTGCCAGCTTCTGAGTGCGTCGCTGCCAATCCCGGCTGGCGCTCGGCCGAGCTTTCTCGCGCCGCCCCTCGCCGTCTTGGCCGCCCTGCTCCAACGCCCATCCCTTGGCCTCGCCGCCGCCGCTGCAGGGCAAGCTGTTCTCTCTGCGCCGCGTGAAGGACGACGTCCGCGAGGTGTCCGCCGGCACTGAGTGCGGGCTGGCAGTGGAAGGATTCAAGGACTGGGAGGTGGGCCCTGGCTGGCCCGCTCGGCGGTGGCTGGGTGGCTGGGTGGTCGCCGGGAGTGGGTCGGGTTCGCTGTGCTCGGCTGCGCTGTGCTTTACGCTGCGCCTGCTCTGTGCTGTGCTGCCCCTGCTGTGGTGAAATGTTGAGCCTGCCGCGTGCCCGCCATGGCCCCGGCTGTGCCTGCAGGCGGGCGACAAGATCGAGGCGTTTGAGGTGGTGCAGAAGACGCTGAAGCTGGAGGAGGCCAAGGCGGCCACCGCAGACATGTCTGCCATGGAGGTCGGCACCGCCTGAGGCGCCGCATGGCGCCAGAGGCCGGGGCGGGGCTGGAGCGGCGCCCGCGTGCTCCCTCCCCCCGTGCCTGCCTGTATCTTTTACGAGTAACAGCTTCCCGTCACGCTGCGCCGCAGCCGCGCTGCCTCCTCGCTGGCGCGCCGCCAGACAATTGTCTGAGCCGCGCTGTGTGCTGCCGCATGCACCCATGCTGCGATGCGGCGGCCCCTGGTATTGTTGCAGCCTGCTGCTGCTCCCCGACTGTTTCCAAGCTCTTGGCTCGACCTCTCCTGCTCACTTCATTATGGAAATTGCACATCACACAGTGTAGCGAAGCAAGCTGCGACGCTGCTATTAGAGCAGGCATAGAGCAGATGCGGCAGAGTTTGTTCAAAAGAGAGGGGCAGATATCATATGATATGTTTGGGGGCAAGCAAGCAATCTCTGGCTTGTCGGGAGCAGCATGCGGCCGAGATCATTGAAAAAAAGGCGGGTACATGTGGGTGCCAATGTTTGTGGATCAAGCAAGTGAGAAAAAACGTAGGTTTGTTTGATGTTATTAATCGAGTGTCATTGATTACAAATGTAATCAAGTGTTGAGGTGCCCCCCGTTGATGTGCGGCCTGCGCGGCAGCCCTAGGCGGCTGCAGCAGCCCGCTCCCAGAGCAGAGCGTCGATGGTGTGCCAGCACAGCGCTGCCAGCATGACCGGGAGGGCCCAGGCGGGCCAACCCATGAGGCCCAGGATGCCGCTGCCTCCTCCCTCTGCATCGTCCTCCCAGCACTCCGGCCCCACCTCCTGCTGCAGCCAGCTACCCCACAGGTGCCTCAGCCGCCCAACCTGGCCGGAGGTGCTGCTGCTGCACAGCAGCTGCAGATGCTGCAGCGGGCCGCAGGAAAATGGAGCTGCTGCCACAATCGCCAGCCCCACAGCTGCCGTGGCGGCTGCCACAGACACAGCCGCGCCAGCGCCAGAGACGCAGAGCGTCATGGCTGGCAGCAGCACAGTTGCGGGAAGCAGCACGGCGGCGAACAGCACTGCTGGCGGGCGAGAAAGCGCCTCTGGCTGCCGCTTCGCTGCCCCCGCTGCTGCGGCAGCTGCGGCGGCTGCCCGCGCAGCGGCTGCGGCTGGAAAACTGGGCTGCTCCGCGCTGCACAGCGCCGGTTCGTGCGCCGCCGCTGGGGTGGCTGCCGCCAGTCCCGCACCAACAGCCTGCCCCTCGGGCGAAGGAGGCTGCAGCTGCGCCTGCTGGGCGACAAACTTGGCAAACGTCTGCATGAAGGAGGGAACCAAACACCACTTACACATAGCAGGGACAGACAGGTGGCAGTCAGAGATGTCGGCAAGGATAGGGTGTGAAGCAGAAGGGGCGCCGTTTCCGCTTCCGGCAGCCCCGCAGCGCCACCCTGCCACTCACATGTCGCTCCAGGCGGCGCAGCACCAGGGACGGCACCGCCCAGCTCAGCATCAGCAGCAGGAAGGCTTGCACCTTGAAGCAGCTCAGGCTGGAGCCTGCAATAGGCGGGAGGGGAAATCGCTGTCACGACCTGCCTGGGAAACAACGCACACACACAACAGCACGCCTCTACGCTGCCTTCTGCCTTAGCTGTGTTGGCAGCAACAGAGGCAGCCAAAAGTGCAAAGAGCATGAGCACTCACTCTCTAGGCCGGACACTGAGCCCAGCGGCCGGAACGGCGCCAGCAGCATGCCGACTGCATCTGCCGCCATGCCAAAGGTGTGTGCTTGGTCTGCAGGGCGGCAGGTAACTTGGATGCGTGAGAGGCGGGGGGGGGGGGGGGGGGGAGGGCACGGCAACATGCGGCAGGCAGGGAGCAGAACAACAAGCAGGCAGCAGAGGAGGCGGAGGCATGGCAGTGAAGCAGGTGTCCTGCAGTGCAAAAAAAGCGCAGCCACACACCTGGCCTAGCGGCGCACGTCAGCTGGCACAGCCGCCACTCCAGCGGGAGGACGGACAGGAGGATGAGGGGCTTGACCAGGACAAAGCGATGGTACCGCATGCGGTACCTGCACGAAATGGAAAGCATGCGGACTAGACGTCATGCCGCATGCGGCGCCTCAAGGGAGAGGCCAGGTGCCCACCACGCACACGTGCGGCTGCTTGCTGGCTGCATGCCTCACGCACTCGTATGCCACTCACATCAGGGAATCCACGCCCTGCCACGGCACGGTGGAGGACAGCAGGAAGCTGGCCAGGAAGCCGGCGGTGGAGGTGCGCCCCAGCCGGCTGCTCAGCCGCACGTGGCTGGCAAACTGGCCGCCCATGCCGTAGTGGAAGATGGAGTGCAGGACCAGCAGGTAGTCGCGGTGCTGGATGTAGAACCGGCGGGAGCGGGGCGCCAGCCTGCAGCGCAACAACTTCAACGTTCGGTGTTGACGCTGGCAGCCGCAGAACCCAGCCACGAGCGAAACGATGCACAGCCAGAATCCACTGGAAAAGAGCCCCACCTGCTGAGCGCCAGCGGCCACTGGCAGAGGACGGCGCAGGCCACGGCGGCGGCCGCCAGGTCTGGGCGGTGCAGGGCGGCCAGTGAGGGGATGAGGCTGAGGTAGACCAGCATGCCCAGGGTGGTGCCAAACACGTCGCTGGTGACCTGCTTGGCGGCAAAGTACCTGCAGGGAAGCGGAACGACAGAAACAGCAGCAGGAGCCGCATGTCGGCAGCGGCATTCTAAGGGCAACAGCAGCAGCGGTGGGCGGTGGCTGGCTGGCAGCGGCGGCGTGAGAAGCGATCGTGAACGCGTCATCACACACACACACGCCAGGAATGGGAGCTCTGGGAGCGTGGATGCGGGACACTGGCGAGGTGTGGCCACACTGGCGGCGCGTATGCCGCAGGAGTCCAGCAGCAATGCAACGTCCCGCTGCTCTCACCGGTCGAAGCTTGTCGCCAGCACAGCTGCAGCGGGCGCCACCCGTATGCTCTCCATGCCCGCTACACCCTGAGCTCCCAACCGAGCCAATTCTACCTGAGAATGCCACCGCCAGTAGCGCTGCCGCAGCAGACGAAGAATTGAGAAAGCAGCAGTACATGCTGTTGTAGCGGCGGATGCGACAGCGGCGTCAGGGTGGCCGCCGCCGGTTGCGCGCCTTGGCCAAGGTATTGATTCATGCCTGCCAATACAGTGACACAAAGTTTACGGTGCATGGCAGTGTGCTCGTTGAAGGTGCGACAGGGCTGCCCACGCGACAGAAGCGCCAGCGCTGGCCGCTGCCGGCATCTCATCACGCTGACTGCGCTCGTCACCCGAACGTTGCTTCTGTCGCAACAGTCGACTCCCTCAGCTCCCCATCCAGCTTCTGGCATGCGTTACAAATGGCAGTTGGCAGTGACTGAAATTCGGAAATGGGCGCAACAGGGTATGGCCCAGGCGAACCTGGGGCACGCATGGCACCACCATCAACTCTGCAAGGGACAGGACTCAGCAGGTGCCAGCAGGAGAGCGGCGGTGGCCACCCGTCCCGCAGCTCTGCTTCTAAAATTCTGCATAGGCTTCCATGCCTGGCAGCACCGCGCCTGCATGCGGGTTGCGGCAATGTGTGGGGCACAGATGGAGGCAGGGGGCGGTCAGGAGGTGTCAGTTTTCGTCAGTCTAGGTGAGAAAGCGCAAGCGACAGACAAGGCAGCAGGCGGGGCTGGGCTGAGTGCCCAGCGGTTGGCGAGCAGAGGTGGCGGAACACAGCTAGGCCGCCATGGCCTGAATGGGCGCATGCTAATGCAGCATGCCGCCTCCAGGCACGTCCGCACACAGCAGCAACACAGGCACGTCCGCACACAGCAGCAACACAGTAGTGTTCCAAGGGTGTTAGCGGGAGCAGCAGGCGGGGGGCGCTACCTTGTTGCTGCTGGGGCGGGCGAGGGGGTGGAGGCCCCATTGCCATGCGGGGCGGCGGAGGCCCCATGGCCCCTGCCGGCCAGGCCTGCTGCGGCGGCGAGATGGCGGCGCCGCGCGGCAGCTGCGGCGAGGCCGCCGCCTGCTGGCCGTACTGCTGCTGGTAGTGGCTCGGCCCATGCTGCTCCTGGCGCTGCTGCTGCTGCTGCTGCTGCTGCTGCTGCTGCTGCTGCTGCTGCTGCTGCTGTTGCTGGGGCTCAGCGGAGCGAGCCGCCTGGTATTGATCGTAAGGATTGGAGTGGCCCTGCGGCGGAGCACAGCAGGAGGACAAGCAACGGGGGGCATGCCAGGCCTGCCGTGTCAGTATATGTTAGTTGGCGTGGGCACGCAGAGGGCAAGCGCAGGCAGGGAAGGGTCGATCCAGCACGGCATGCTGCAACCACAGGGCACATGGGCAGGCGCCAATGCTGGAACAGCACCGATGCTGGCAGGACCACTGCTGGCCAGGTGCTGCACAGGTAGCAACCTGCTGGTTGGAGCCCTGGTCGGCCTTGGCCTCTGTAAACCGCCGCTTGGCTGGCGGCTGCGGCTGCTCGGGCTCCGCATGCTGCTGCTGCTGCTGCGGGGGCGCCTGCTGCTGGGGCTGGTGGTGGTGCTGCTGGCCGGTTGGGGGGCCTCCAGGGGGGCCGCCACCCCGCCCGTAGCCAGCATACGGCCCCCGGGCAGAGTACCCTGGCTGTGCGGGTGGCTGCTGCTGCTGCGGCTCGAGCGTCGCAGCGCCGCCGCCGCCGGCATAGCCGCCTGGGTGAGCGGGTGGGTAGTAGGCTGGCTGCCCGGCCGGCTGCTGCTGCTGCTGCCGGGGTGGCGGCTCAGGCGGGTAAGCGCCAGGCGGCGGCGGGTAGGCACCAGGCGGCGGCAGAGCCGCAGGATGACCGTACTGCTGCTGAGGTGGTGGAGGGTACCCGCCAGGCGCGCTCGGCTGCTGCTGCTGCTGGGCAGGGTAAGAGGCAGAAACGCCCGGCTGCTGCTGCTGCTGCTGCTGCTGCGGGGGCGGCGGGTAAGCCCCAGCATAGGCAGACGCCGGCTGCTGCTGCTGCAGGGGCGGCGGGTAGGCCCCAGCATAGGCAGACGCCGGCTGCTGCTGCTGCTGCTGCGGAGGGGGAGGGTAGGCCCCCGCCTGAGCACATGACGACGCCTGTGCAGGCGCCGGCGGCTGCGCTGCCGGCGCCTGCTGCCCAGCATACTGCGGCGGCATGGCGTGCGGCGTCGGCCCGCCATACGTCTGCCCCTGCTGCTGCTGCAGCGGGCTTGCCTGCCCTGCTGGCGGGTAGTACGCGCCAGGCTGGGCGCCTGCCGCAGGCTGCGCAGGCTGCACAGGCGCCGCCGCGGCTGCCTGCCAGGGCGTCCCGGCTGCGGCTGGGGCTGGGGCCGGCGGTGGCGGCGGGCTGTACTGCCCAGGCGGGGGAGGGGCAGGCGCCGAGGGGTAGGCCGCCTTGAAATCCTCCCTCACAGTGTCAATCAGGTTGGCAGCCAGCCTGCGGCAGAGGGAGCATCCCCGGCCGAGGGCAGGCAGCAGTGAGAGGAAGGTGCCGGGAGGAAATCGACCCAGGGCTGGGAGCGAGGCGTGTCAGGAAATGGAGCAGACTTGAGAGGCCACGACAGCCAACCTGGCACAGACACAAGAGCAGGAAAGAGCAGGAGGCGCAGGAAGCGCAGGAGCAGCAGGAGCAGCAGAGGCAGCGGGAGCAGCAATGGCAGCGGGAGCGGGAGTAAGGACAGCGCGGCCGCCGCCAGCCCCCACCTGCGCCCCTCCTCCAGCTTGGCGGCATCCTGGCTGGCCAGGTGCAGGTGCAGCGGGAAGGGGCCCTCCGGCTGCACGCCCGACCCGCGCCCCGCCACGCTGGCCGCCACCCCCGTGGCGCTCTGGATGTGCTGCAGGTAGCTGCCGTTGGGGCCGCGCAGCCTGCCTGCGGCGTCAAACTCGGGCGCCGCCCCCTCGCAGCGCGGGTACAGGCACAGCCAGCCGGGGCCGGACTGGGGGTAGGCGCCCGCAGGCGGCGCAGGCGGCGCGGGAGCCGCGGCGGCGGGCTGCGCGGCGGCGGGCGCGGGCGTGGCAGCGGGCACGGGCGGCGGCGCGCCGCCGGGGCCCGCAGGCTGCGGCATGGGGCGCGGCCGGTTGGCAATCATGGCTGCGATGTCAGCGGCAGCCATGTCGCAGGCGTGCTGCCGCCACTTGGGGTCCTGCGGCGGGGTGCAAGGAGATGGCGTGGAGCGGGGCAGGCAGGCAGCGCAGGCAGCAGCCAATGCAGCAGCGCTGCCTGCCTGCGGTACTGCGGTACGACGGACCCGTAAACATGGCCACAAGCGTGCGGCCAAGCTGGAGGAGGGAAGTCGGCGCGGGCGGGCCCAGCAGGGCAGCGGAACGGTCCTGCCGCGGCGGCGCACCATGGGCAGGTTGTTGCTGGGGGTGACGCGCAGGAAGAGGGGACGGTCGTCTTCTCGGTCGCTGGAGGGGTGCTGGCCGGGTGCGTGGTAGCGCCCCCTGACCACCACCACCACCCGCCACTTGGCCTCCAGCTCCTGCTGGGTGCTGCGCCGGGTGAGGTGGTGGCGGGTGCGGGGCGCCGCATGGTTGAAGGTCACCTCCGCTTTGATGCTGGCCACAGCCTGCGCGGCGGCCGCCTGCGCCGCCAGCTGCTCCCGCAGCTGCTGCTGCAGCGCGGCCTGCGTGGCGGCGGCGGCGGCCGCCTGCTGCTGCTGCTGCAGTAGCGCGGCCTGCGCCGCCGCGATGGCCGCCGCGTCCTGCTGCGGCAGCGCAAAGGACGGCGGCGCCGCTGCAGGCTGCGGCATCACCCCCGAAGCAGCGGCATCCTGCAGCAGCAGACCAGGCAGGCTTGCCAGACGTGCTCACTGGTCTGTCCTCCGCAGGCCAGAGGCGGTCAGCAGGGAGCCCTGCTCCTGTCACTTCTCACTCCGCAGGTGCTCTTGCAAGGCCACACCTGGTTGAGGCGCGCCGCCACCGCCGCCGCGCTGGCCTGAATCTTTTTCAGCATCTCCGGGTCCATCGCGCCGCCAACCCCTGCCCTGGGGTGGGCAGGCTGCGCAGGCTGGGCTCCAGGAGGACCGATGGGCGCGGCGGCCACGGCGCCATAGGCGCGCGGCGCGAGCCCCGCCACCCTGGTGCCCATCAGCATGGCTGGCGCCGCCTGAGCAGCTGGCGGCGGTGCTTCAGGCGCCGCCACGTCCCATTTTCGCCTCTTCATGCTGTCAGGCTGCCTGGCGATTCTGTGATGACCGCGGAGCTATCCGTGAGTGGTTTGCAGCGCTCTGCAGGCCGAATGGACCCGCCGTCTGGAAGAATTGGCGGAGTGGAAAGTTTGCGGGCCGTGTAATGCACGATCACGGCCCCTGACGCTACTTTACACTCCTGCAAGGCCTGATCCACCATCAGCGGTACTGGGAGCGCGTCCAGCCGGGTCTTCTAGCAGCTACTGTGCCGGCCTGTGGAATCAGGGGCGGGATTGAGCGATGGACGACTTCACGTTCGACTTTGAGCGCGGCCTGGAGTCTCAGCCGGCGCAGAGGGGCTACCAGGTGCGCTGGCGGTCGGCGTGAATGCAAGTCTGCCAGCGCCGTCTGCTGCCTGAGATTTGGGGTGCCCTGTCGCGGTCCTAAGTAGCAGAAGGGGCGCCAGGGGCAGCCGAGGCGGCGCCGAAGATCCGCGGCGCCCACCGCCGGCGGTCGGCGGCGTTGGCGGCTGCGCGACACTTTACCAAAGACCGCCCTGTCCTCCTTCTTCCTGCCACTTCCCTCGCCCTTGCTCAATCTGACGCATCCATCCCCTTGCTCACCCCTTTGCCTCTCCCCGCAGGCAGCCGACGATGGCATGGGCGGGCGGGGCAACGCGGAGCCCAAGCCTCGCAACTACCGCCAGACCGTGTGCACCTACTGGCTGCGTGGGCTGTGCATGAAGGGCGACACGTGCGGTTTCCTGCACCAGTTCGACCCGGAGCGCATGCCCGTCTGCCGCAGCCTGCTCAAGTTTGGCGTATGCAAGGAGCCGGGTGAGCTGGCGGTACCGCCTGCGGCAGAGACGTGCGCCGTGGCCCTCACCATGTGCCGTGTGCCCCAACCATGGTTTGTCGCAGCTGACCCTTCGCTGACTGCCCCGCACTCCTGGCCCCCACGGCTGCCCCTCCCTGCCCGCAGACTGCCCCTACAAGCACACCCTGGAGGCGATCAAGGAGTGCAACATGTACAAGCTGGGGTTCTGCATCTACGGGCCCGCGGTGAGACACCCGCCCACTTGCTGGTCTGCTCGCCTGCCTGCCTGCCCTCTGCCCTTGCCTGCTTGCCCTGCGCCATGCCTGCCCGCCTGCCCTTGCCTGCTCCTGTTCTGCTCGCCTGCTGCCTGCCTGTTTGTTTCTTGTTTGTAACAGCGCTTTCTACTCAGGACGCCACCTGATGCTGACCCCAGCCGCATGCCGCGCCCGCCTGCCCGCAGTGCCGGTTCAAGCACACGCGGCAGCTGGCGCCGCCGCCCGACCCAGAGACGCTGGAGGCGGCCAAGCCGCGGGAGCATCGCAACCTCAACATAGTAGCCAACCAGGCCAACGAAAACATCATGCCGGAGCGGGAGGCGCGCGGCCCGCGGCGGCCGCGGCCCGGCGGCGACGGCGGCGGCTACATGGCGCTGCCCGGCGCGGGCGGCGGCGGCGGCGCGGGGCCCTCCGCAGTGCAGCAGTACGCGGGGCCGGGCGGCGCGCGGCAGCCGGGGCAGCAGTACGGCGGGCAGCAGGCGCCGGGGTATGCAGACTCGGCGCTGCTGGCGGCGGTCGGGCAGGCGGATCTGCGGTACGGCTTCTGAGGGCAGCATGTCTGAAGCCTAGACCTCCTCACCTGTTCCTGCCTGCCCCCTTCCTTTGCTATGCGCCTCTCCTGCCTCTCACTGTTCACAACGTCCCATCCCTGCCCGTATAACTTGCACATTCTTTCCACCTCGTTCACCAGTTTTGCTCACATCAGACACAGTCTCTCAATGAATGAAAAAGCAGCGGCGCGCACGCACGCCGTGCACATGTAAACCAACCAAACAAGTAGCACAGAGTCAATGACGCAAGGGACAGCAGGTCAAGAGGGAAGCCTGAGGCAGCGCAGGGTTGGCAGCAGCATCAATCGCAACGAGAGGAAGCAAAGTACAGGCAAGGGCCTGGCGGGGAGGCGGCCTTGGGCAGCACGCAGCCCGCCCAGCCCGCATGTCACGAATATTCCCCCCAGCAAGTATCACCGCCCGATGCCGTCTGTGAACTTGGTGCGCACCGAGGACAGCTCGGGCAGATCGTCCACAAACTGGGCCCAGGGCGGGATACCCGCGCCGCTGGCGCGCACGGTACCATCCAGCTGGACCTGTGGGCAGGCAGGCAGGCGTGGTGGGGGGGCAGGGGTGGTGGCAGGGGTGGGTGGGCCACAACCCAGGGCTGGCAAGGAGGCACTGGTGGCAGCAGGGGGAGCCGCCCGCAGCCGGCCAGGCAGACGGGGAGCCTGCCAGGCCAGCCAGCCAGCCAGCCAGCCAGCCAGCCAGCCAGCCCCACCTGCACGTAGACTGTTTCCGCCGTGATGCCCGCCGCCTGCTTCTGCTCCGCCAGCCACTGCTGCCACTCGCTCTCATCAAACGCTTTGAGCTGCCACTTGCGGTCCTGCAAAGGCGGAGGAGGCGATGCCCCCAGGCAGAAGCATGTGCAGCGGCAGGGCTGGGTGGCGGGGAAGCGGGGAGTGGTGGTGGTGGCGGCCAGTTTGGGCCAACAGCCGCTACCCGGCCACCTGCACATGGCAGGGGCCGGCGAGGCAAGCCTCAGCAGCAGCAGGCGCACCTTGCTTGTGAGCCCCGCTGCCGCCGCGGGGGCCGCCGCCGCCGCCGCCTTGTCGCCGCCGCCGCCGCCGCTGCTGCCAAAGCCCTTACTCGAGCTGCCGCCGCCGCCGGCAAACTCGGCCTTGAGCTGGCGCAGCTTCTCCCCGGCATCCTCCCCTGCCAGCTGCACGGGCACCACAGACACCCCCCGCTCCCGCAGCGCCTCCTGGAACGGCTCGGCCCCCGCCAGCGCCCGGCTGAGCTGCGTGCGGGTGCCGGCGATGATGACGGGGCGTGTGGTGCCGCGGAAGGCGGCCAGAGGGAGCACCCGCTCGCCGCCCAGCGACACCTGTTTCGGCAGAAGGAGAGGTGGGGTGGGTGGTGGGAGGCAAGGGGCGGTGCCAGGCCAGGCCGCCGGCCCGCATGGGCCGACAGGCCAAGGTGTGGGGGAGCCCGGGCAGCGCTGCTCATCCGAGCAGTGTCAGCGGCAGGAGCGGCAGCGCACGCACGGCCGGCACGGTCCCCTTGCGCGCACAGCCGCACCTGCAGCCTGCCCAGCGCCTCCTCCCGCAGAATGACCTGCTGGTCCTTGTTTTGGGAGGAAAGGTCGCGGTACACAAAGAAGCCCAGCACGCCCAGCGCCGCCGCGTTGATGCCAAAGTTCTGCGCGGTCTCCTGCAGGTCGGGCGCGCCCTCGCCGCCTGCGGGCCGGCACGGCGGTGGCGGGCGGCGTGGGAGGGCGGGGCGGCGGCCGGCGGGGCGTGCCAGCGAGAGAAGGGCAGGCAGGCAGGCAGGCGTGATGAAGCAAGGTCCCTGGCTCCAGCCAGCTATTGAGGGGACTTGACAGGTGCGGCATGATGCCGCAAGAGCGGGCCACCGCTGCCAGCTACCGATGCCCACCCCGCCCCACCCCCACGCTGTGCCATGCTGCCGCCACCCACCCTGCAGCGCCGCCACCAGGCGGCTGGTGATGATGAAGAGGCCCAGGGCGGCCCCCACGGCCAGCCCTCCCAGGAAGATGATGCGGGTGAGGCGGAAGGGGGCCTTGGCCTCGCTTCGCAGCCGCACATACTGCTGCTCGTTGATGCCGCCTGCAGGCAGGGAGCGCGGGAACAGCGGCGGCAGGAGGGGAGGAGGCTATGTGCTTGCTGATGAAGGTGCTTGCTGAGGGAGTGCCAACAGCAGGCGGCGCTGCTCTGCAGGGTACCGCAGCGTGTCGCAGAGGTGCTCATAGAGTGGAGAAGAGACTGCAAGAGAAGAGACTGCAAGGCAGGAGAATAAACCGGGGCACCCACCGCGCATGTCAGAGAGCGCCTCCAGCCACTCGCGCCGCTCGCGCAGCGCCTCCAGGTCTGGGTCGTTCAGCGCCACGGTCAACTTCAAATCGTACTCGTTGACCGCGCGCTTGATGGTGTCGACGGCGGGCTGCCACTGGCGCAGGCGCGTGTGGGCGCAGGCGGCGTTGTATGCCGCGGCGCGCGCCTCGTCGCCGTCGGGCTGCAGCTGCTGCGCGCGGAGGAAGAGTTGCAGGGCTGCCGCCGGGTCTCCGGCCTCGAAGGCCGCCAGGCCCCGCTCCACGGCCTCCTTGGCCGTGCTGGCAGAGGGCAGGGGCTCGGCCTCCTTGGCAGCGCTGGCGCGGGCCAACGCCAGGCGCTTGGGGCGAGCACATTGGAGCCTGGAGATCCCGATGGGGGATGCCGGGCCCCGCTGCGACGATGTGAAAGGCTGGGGCCGCAGACCCAGACTGGTCATTTGTAGTAGCGCCCACATAGCCCCTTGCGGGCTGCTTTCGCAACTACTGGATCGCTAACCACGTCGATGATTGGGTCAATTGGGCGGTTTGGGCTGCCGTCATCCAAGCTGTGGGCCACCTCGATCCTAGCTGGCTTCATCTTTGAAGCGCTGCATTCTCCCTTGGATAACGAAATTCGGGCTGAAGGCTCCCTGGTACCCCGACACACGCAGCCGTGGCGGCTGCGACAGCGCACACGATTTGCGGTTGACCGCTCCCACCTGCACCTGCCGAGGGGCTCCTTCCGGGCAGCAGTCACGAAACTAACAGCCGGCAGCGGAGCGACATAGCGAGAATGACAGACTTCCGTGAGTGGGAGCGGGCCATGTGACAAATGCGTCGCAGGAATGGAGCCTGCCCGTGCTTGCTGGGCCCAGATTACGTCCGAATGCACGCTTCCGAGTTCCTGTGCAGGGCCGCACTCCGCTGCGCCATCGGCCATGGGCGCGCCCACGCCCGAGACCAGCCGCCGCCCGCTCTACACCTGGCTGGCTGAGCTGGAGCGCATGCGGGATGCGGCTGCCAGCGGGGCCAGGTGCACCTCCACATGTGCAGACACCCTTGAAGGCACAGCAGGCCGCATTTTCAGATGAAGTTGGCCTCACTCGCGGCCCAGCTTGCCTAGTCCTGCACTCCTTCCTGCCCCGCCCCCCTGCCCGCTTGCCACAGGGCCAAGTTCACCGTCCTGGATGTGGCCGACCGCTCGGTGGAGCCTGGGTGCACCGCCGCCGCCTGCATGCCCACCAGCCCTCGCTCGGTGGAGGCGTGCCTGCGGCTGGGCATCGACCCGGCCTGCCTGCTGCACCGCCCGCTCGACCACTTCCTGCGCTCCGAGCGCAGCCCCGAGCTGGCGCAGGTGCGGCGGGGCGGGGCCGCGGCGCGGGGCTGCATGCGCTTAGCAGTATGCATGCGAGGCCTGGTCCTCCTCTAATACTGGTGGACACCTCTCCATGATGAATATGTGTCCCTGGCCATGCCTTGCCGCTGGCGTTTGTGGCGCAGCTGGCGTTTGAGCACGAGGAGGCGCTGCGCCAGGACCGGCTCAAGGCGCTGATCGAGGAGCGGCGGCGCCTGGAGGAGGTCGCGCGCGCGGGCAGCAGAGCGGTACGCGCCGCCGCGGGGGAGGGTCCCGCCCAGTGCCGACGCTAAGCACCCGTGCAGTGCACCTGCCTCGCTCACCTGGCGCTGCACAGAACCGGCAGCTGCTGCAGCAATGCCGTATCCCACCCATGCTGGCCTCGCCGCACCTCTGCACAATTCAATTCTGCCGAGTCCCGTCTGCCGCGCCGCCTGCAGGCGGCCTCCGGCAAGCCCGCCGCCTCCGCCGCGGTGGCTGGGGCCGAGGACCTGGTTGAGAAGGAGGCTCGGCGGCTGGAGGTGATGCGGCGGCGACAGGAGCGGGAGCTGGCGCAGCTGATTGCGTACGAGATGGTGCGCAAGGAGATGCAGGAGCGGGCGGAGGCAAAGGTGGGCTGGGCGGGGCTGGCTGACTGGCACGGCGGGACCGGGGAGGGGCCGGGTTGGAGAAGGGGCCTGCGGAGGTGGGCTGGGCTCTGGGTAACAGCATGGATACAGCGTACAAGGAAATCTGCTTTCTGGCTGGCTGGCGTGGCGGGGCTGTGAGGAAGGGGACTCCCATGGAGGGCTGGTGTAGGGGCCTGGGGGAGGCGCAGGTGGTGTGCAGACGGCAGACTGGGAGTGGCACTGCTGGCATGGCGGCGGAAGGGTTCTCCAGAGGGGTTTGGGTGACGGGTAGCGTGGCGGGGGAGGCGCCTGGCGTGACCTCCAGGCTGCGCCCGCACCGGCTGCCCGCAGGTGCGGGAGCAGGAGCGCAAGGCTGACGAGCAGCGCGCCGCCAAGCAGGCTGCTGACGAGGAGTGGCGGCGCCAGCAGCACGAGCGCGAGATCCAGCGCAAGCTGGAGGACGAGGCGCGGCAGAAGGAGATCAAGGCAGGCGGGGGCCCCTGCGTGTGTGTGCAGTGTGGTGTGGAGAGGAGGGAGGGGTGCACGTCTGTGTGTGTGGTGGAGGGTGAAACGGGGTGTGGAGGAGCAGGGGAGGCGAGCAGGCACTGTGGCCGGCGCTAGGCAGTGCCACGACTCAGGCACATGAAAGAGCCCCGGACTGGCATCCACCCCGCTGCCCTCTGGCGCCAGGAGCCAAGCAGCAGCGCCCCTGCCCAACCGCATGCAGGCTCAGGAGGCGGAGCGGTATGAACGTGAGATGGAGCTGCGGCGACGGGAGCAGGAGGAGGAGAAGAAGCGGCGGCAAGAGGCCTACATGCGGTGCGCCTGCTGAGGCGGGGGCTGTACAGCTGGCAAGCTGATCCGCCTGGCTGCTGGGGTCTACACTCTGCTGTCTGCCTGCCCACTGGAGTGGCTGCACACGGCAGGGAGCAGAAGGCGGCCTGCACTGTAGGTTGAGCTCTGGCCCAGCGCTTGCCGATCCTACGCCTGCGGCATGCAGGGAGCAGGAGCGAATGCAGAAGGCGGAGCAGGCGCGGCTGGAGACCGAGCGCATCCTGCGGGAGCAGCAGGTGGCATGAGGGCTGGGGCTGGGCTGGGCCGGGTGGGATGGGGCTGGGTGGGATGGGGCTGGCTCATTACGAAGAGTGTGCCAGCAACGAGGAGGGGAGGGGGGTGGAGGGGAGCGATCGCGCCAGCCCAGCATGTCTCCTATTGCCACCACCGCCAACAACAGCAACAACGCCGACACCGCCCCATGCCGCGCAGGACGCGGTAGAGAAGCGCAAGGCGGAGATGCAGAAGCGGGACGCGGAGCGGGAGAAGGCCAAGCAGCTGGCGGCCGAGGAGCGGGCGGCGGCCAACGCCGAAGCGCAGCGCCAGGCGCAGGCACGCATCGCTGCGGCGCAAGAGGCCAATAGCGCCATCCTGCAGGTGGGCTGGGGTGGCTGGGCATCGTGGTGCGGTAGGTGGCTGGGCGAGGCGCGCTGGCTGCAGCGAGGTGGCGCCAGCTGAGGCTTGCAGCACAGGGGCATGGCTGTGTGGAGATGGGTGGGATACAGCAGACAGCAGCTGCCAGCTGGCGCTCAGCAGGTACCAGCTGTAGCAGCTGTAGCTGTGGCAGTACCTGCAGCAACAGCTGTAGCGGGTGCCAGCTGGAGCTGGCAGCATGGTGGCCGCAGCCTGGCAGGCAGGGTCGGTGCTGGTCTGCCTTGTCGAGTAGCTACTGCTGCTGCTGCTGGCGCCACCGTTCATGCCGCTGCCCTGCAGAGGCGCCGCGAGGAGTTTGAGACGCAGCAGAAGAAAAACGAGGAGCGGCGGCGGCTGCGGGAGGCGCAGCGGCAGGCGGAGGAGGAGGAGCGGCGGGAGGGGGAGGAGAAGCGGGCGGAGCAGCGGCAGGCGGCGTACGAGGAGGCGCAGCGCAGGGAGGCGGCGCGGGTGGCCGAGGTGGGCTGAGCAGCCATGCCGCANAGTGCATGCCATGCCCGCTGGCTTGTACGCGTTGGGCATTGCGCACCCGTTCAAACCGCCGCACCGCTCTGTGTGCGAGGGAACCCCGAGCGAGCCATGCCTGCCCGCCCGCCCGCTG